CATAGTAGAAAAAAAAAAAAAAGATAAATAAATAAGAAAATAAAAATAAAAATAAAAATAAACTAATGTAATTCAGAATCACCACTCCAATCACCAAACGTGCACAGTGACATATCTCACCTGCACCCCAAACATAAGCAACAAAACAACATACATAATCTTCAACCTCCAGTAACCCAATCAACAGATTTCCTCAGGTAAATCAATCATCAACCAAACAGCCACGCGAAAAAACAAAACTAACTGCACCACGAGGCGCCCATTGCCGAGGAATTTGGCCTGCGCACATCACTTCTCGACCTAAGCTCTCCCTTACCGCAACCCGCATACTTGCAGTCCATGTTTCAGCTGGGGTCGGAACAAGCCGACTGCCGTGCCGCTGTGAAAGGGATAAAAAGCCCTCCTCCCTTGCGTGGGAGACTCGCGAAAAACGTGCATTATTCATCATGCTACTGGGGCACATTGGCACCAAGTTTTTTGTTCTTACGTACATTATATTTGAAACGGCGATGAGTTCGCATAGGGGATAGTTGTCCCCGAGTGAGTGGAGTGGTGCTATTCATGTAGATCTGGGACTAATTATTGCTAGTTGCTAGTTGTTAGCTAGCTGGGCACAGTTACTTACGAACGTACTAGTAAAGATTCCATCAGCTAGCCGAAGCACCATTGAGATCACGATCAACATTCCTGCATAGTTGGACAAGTGTCCGTCAGTACATACCTAAGTAATACGGACACTAAGACCAAATACAATCCTAATACTTACGGTAAATCTCTGAGATTCCCGCTAGACTTGTAGGAGATGAGGGGGAGTAAACACCGAGAATACGAAAGGCCTGTGATAGATCACTTTAGCCAACTTCGCTTAAGTAAACTCTCTTGCCGCTATCCGAGAGTAACGGTCGACTAGAACTGGTATGGACTAGCGGGAGTTTACTATGAGCTGTTTAGGTTCTGATTTATCGTGTGTCATGTAGATAGATGTGTTGGTTGTTCGTGGAGATGGCGCGTTGCGTCGAGTCTTTTGGCTTTTGGGTTAAGCTACTGTCATGGTGCTATGCGAGGGTGAGTTAATTAGGGTTTATTCTATTAATGGGAATTGATATATTGGTTAATTGGTTAGAATCAGTGAGGCTGCACAGTGCTACGCGAGCAATCGAGTAATTAAGAATCCGACTTGCTAGAGGCGGGTTGTTTCGTCAATTAGGGCATACGGTTTTTTTTTTTTTTTTTTTTTTTCAATAAGAGTGATCATCACGGCATTGATGACGAGGACTCTACTCCGTAAGTGGAAAGGGGTACTCTAGGTTAGCATTTTCTCCGGTCGCGATCCTATCTAAAATTCCTTGAAACAACCTGTACTCTAAGTACGAAGCATGAAGTAAGGCATAGAAAAGCCAATGTAAGGGTGTCATTTTTAGGGCTTCAGAAGAGAACCGGTGTGCTATACCTGCGTGACTGGCCGTTGTAACCTACATTGCAAAGCCAACCCTCGACATGGAAGATCCAGTTAACTCGTGTGGAGGATTTCCGCCCCATTCCTAAGAAAAGCTTCAAATAATCTGCAGGCCTTTCGGAAGTCTAACCTACCTGCACCTGCTTCCTCCTCGGGGATCTATTTTAGCACCCTTTTATCTAAGCTGCAGCTGAAGCATGCCGCGTGTCCGAGACATAGCAAAGTATAATACACTAAGGGATCTTCAGTTGGAGATCATTCCATGCTCATCGCGGTAATGGGTTGCCTTCTCTTTAACCTCAGGTGCCTTCAACGTTGCTGCAAGTAATGTTGCACCCTTACAGGATACCCATGGGTCAGGTGAGAGTTCATGCTATGGTATACCTTCTGAATCAGTGTTTCTTATCTCGCATGAACGTATGCTCTACCGGCGAGGTAGATCATGGTGAAATCCGAACCTTGCGCGTTGAAGCATGTCTGCAGACAGTCAATTAGAAGCCAACGACAAGTGTCAGCGGTATAGACTTCAAGAATGCCAGCCGAGATACCCCGATCCCCCTGACGCCAGGACAGGGCTGGGCGATGTCGCGGGTGACGTTGCCACTAGGGGAGGATGTCTCCGTATCCACTGGGCAGTCAACCTTCACTTAGGTATAGAGTCTCTCCTTTTGTGCAATATGGCTCTATCTGAAGGGGGCTTGACGCTTAGATTTTCAGAAGAGTCAATTACCCCCCGAATTCAGCAATTATGGGCCTAAGGCTTCCCCGTGGTTTTGCCGATGGCATAGGAGCAGGCGGCTCAAACATGACTATTTGTACGAACCCGAGCCCTTCACTCACATACCCCAAAAGTTGAACAATATGTTCAGCGAATACAGAGCATTGAATCGGACAGCGTACTCATGTTGCCAATCACAACGCGCCGAGTCCTGTGTAGGGTTGCTTTTGCACCGCATTAAAGGGGTGTATGAAGCCCGAGTGGTTTTTCCTGCGATCTCTGATGACGACACGGTAACCGGGTAGGAAGTCGATCTTGTAGCACACTACAACCCTTCTCAAGATACACAGCACTCGAATTAATGGATGATGTCATCACCTGACCCAGATCATCCGCCGCATGCGACAGAAAAGAGCTGGTCGCGAATACGGAGTACCGGCATGAGATATTTAATATTCCGGACTATTCACTTTGAGAGTTCCATGTGTGCAGGCGTAAGGGACCATAAGTAAGGGGTAGTATCCAGTCGCTGGATATGGTTGTATACCCCGACGGAAACACCCGTGGTGGAGTATCGTCATGAGGTGTTCCGCGGAGTATCTGCGCCGAAGGTGATGCTGATAAGAGGTGATACAACGAGGAGTACTATTAAAATGAAGGTTAGGAAATAGGGTGTACCGGCCTTCTCCTTAGTGGCAGTGTGATACAATGATGAATGGACTATTGATTGGACACTAATCAATAATCCTTTCTCAGGCAACGCTGACCACCTAAGGTCGGAGAGTCGAAACTCCATTCATTCAATCGATCATAGTAATGGTGTTATGCGTGGGCAATGGACATATCTCGAGAGAGGAATGCACGATTTGTCAATTTCAAAAATGCGTCATTGTTGGTTCTGTCAGGGAGAAGAAGATCCCATGCGGGTAGACCCGACAATCTGGTCATGCATGGCGCGGAATATGCAGGTTTCAAGGCCTCCTTCGGCCTGGTGCGACTTTTCCAATTCCGAAAGGCGGAATGCCACATGACAGCGGTCAGCGGATTGGGAGTCCATCTTAAGGTTACACTTTCTGAAGACTGGTTCTTGAAAGAAAGTAAATGTTTATAGATTTGGCATGAGGAACGGAGTAACCAAGTCTCTTTCTTTGGTGTTTTCATTCTCCATCAAAGACTGTAAAAGAAGCTACCCTCAAAATCTTCAGAGGAATCCAGCCTGATTCAGGTTCTCCCTGTGAGAGATCGCCACTACCGCCACCATGATTCATGATCATTATCATCCGACCACATCTTAGGGCAACGATACTGAAAGTTATGAGATTTAATTTCGATTAACATATCTTATGAAAGGCTGGTATAGACATGGATGGCACTCCTCTATTCCCTTTTCAGGACCGTTGTCCGAGAAGACAGGGGTGAGACCATGGTTCTCTCTGCAGTGGAGCTTCACAACTCGGGGGGGCTTTAATTTTGTCCGTGGATTTATTCGGTGCTCCGTCTCACCTTCTTCTTCAGTCCTAGCCCTCGATCTTAGTCGATTAGGTGACGAACTGTGTTAAAGGGAAGCTGTTGAGGAAGTCGATCCCGATGTTAGGCTTTTTGCCCCAGAAAATTCGAGGTGATTTCTCGCCCCCAAAAAGACACATAGCTTGGCAGTAGATGCCCATTTTGGTATGTGAAAGAAAGAAAGAATAAAATAAAAAGGTGACGGACGGATGATCCGAACAGAACCAGAATTACGATGGCTGGAATGGGGTCTCCCCATTCGGTGCGGACCGCCCGAGTGGGGTTTATTCAAAAGTTTCCCAGCGTTGAAAACCTGGGACTGGGACCCTCTTGGCTTTTTCCGCCTTACCCGTTTTTACCCTAGAAGCATTTCCGCAGTGGGAATTCCTGGCGTCAGGACCACGTCTCTTCAGGCGTATGCAGTGGCTTATCGAGAACTCTGTAATTTTACCAAGATAGAATAATTCCTTTTTTTATTATTATTTTTTTTTTGTATTCATTTCTTCAATTTTTTATAAGTTCAAAGTACGATACATTGTTGGTCCTCTTACATTCAACGGACCAGTTCGTTTAATATCCAACCTTCACGTACAATCATGCGTCGAGGCTGGAGTACAGGTTGGGGTCTGGCCAACTGCCACCGTCATACCGTTTGTACTCCGTACCGGGGATTGCTTTGGTGTAACCAAATCCCGATCTGGGCCGTTTCGGGTAAAGATTGTCTCTGATTCGAACTTTCTGGCTTTTACTTTTGTTCGGTTCAATGATTTATTGATTGACCGCCAGATTGTCCCTTGGACTCGACCTGATACTCCTTTGTGATGGGAAGGGTCTTTATTGCTTCTTTTGCGAGATAGATCGGGTCCAATCCTTTGTTACAATCCATGAGGATTACCGGATCGGTCCTTCTCTTCACAACAGGGGGATCGATCTCCTATCCACTCTACTGCAGTGAGCTACTACTAGTTCACTTTATTACTTTACCACCTTACAATGAACAGAGTATCCATATTACTCGACGATCCTGTAGGTATCCGTAATTCATCAAAGATTTCATAATAGGTATGGAGGCCGGAAATTCCTATGCCGTGCTGTGGTATTTCCTTATGGGACCCAGAGTCCAATTGACTGCTGTCAGGCCATGCAAGGCAGGCGAAGAGGAAAAAGAGAGATGTCAAATTCGAGGTCAAAAGAATGCGGTTCCACGACGGTGGCACACGTTTTTATTCGCAACGGATGAAGCGGGCTCGGCGCAGAAATGCAATCTGCAAGATGGTGGGAACTTGGGAAAAGGAGTAGACAAAGAAGGGGCGAGCTCGGGCCAGCTTACTTGGCCTTTAAACTCATCCTCATTTCCAGGCTTCTGGGGCGGGCGGTCGATCCGTTGGACTGGGTACGAGTACCAAGAAATACTTGCGACCGGGAACATCCATAGTCTTACATACATACACCACCAACGTAAGTAAGATGCTCTCTCCGTCCACCGGAGAATAAATTATGCCTTACGCTGTACAGCGTCACACAGCGTTAATTAAGGTTGCCTTTTCCTCACCATTTCTCGAAGCTGAACCCGGCAGGAAGGGGCTGTACGGGACAATAACCAAGGATCAATCTACCTTACTATTGTACAACCATTATTCATAGGACAAATTCTCGCCCTTAAAAATGACTCGGGAGGATCTCACTCCGGACAGTTACTGACTCTACATCTTAAAGCAGCTCTTCGATCTGATGTTCTTATTGCATGAAACTATCAGATTTCAAATCCCGACGAGCCAAAAAGAAAAAGAGAGAGAGAGAACTAATTATAGTTGGACGTATCAGCATCTACTTTGATCAGTCGCCCTTAAGCGATCCGTGATGGACGCACTGTCAACCTTGAAAGCGTAACCTGCTTTCTTCAATTGGTTCTTCGAGGGGTATGCACAAACAACTAAGTTCAGCCATACAATCCCTCCTGAGATTAGGCTCCCCGCTGGTTTACTTTCCGTCCATTCAGGACGATGTGTTTAGTGCCTCAAGAGAAGCTAGCTATACCTCTCTAAGACTAGACCGGGGGAAATTAACTTCCTTTGTGTGTAATTCTAGTAGAATCACGGACCTCGAAGGCCCCGTCTGTGGGCCCCCCCTGTACAGGGCTCCGCCCTCGAACTTCCTGTTCAGGCTTTTTCTTTTCTTTTCTTTTTTTTTTTTAAAAAAAAAAAATATTTATTATTATTTTCCCACTCTGTACGGATTTCCTCACAGCTTATTCGTTATGCAGCCAGTGTCTGAACTCCACTGGACCCAAAGGCCAAGCCGGCCGCAGTGGCCATGACCCAGCGACCGTACTAACCGCTCCAGCTGGCTGATTTCCCACTGGATCGGCCATTCTTCCTTTTCCCCCCTCTTTTGTGACACCATCCATCTTCCCCCATTTTAGTGTCATCCGTGCTGACCCAATACCCACCATATCGGCTCAGTCGTGCAGAGTTAGTGCCGTCGTACATACCAGTTCCATTTGAAAAGCACTGTACATACGTGAATGTATCTACGGGGTAATCCCGGTTCCCGTCGTCAGAACGGATAAACATCTCCTATTGACCCTGAGGACCGGTTGAGATGAAAAGAGTAAGTTCCAGAGCGAATGAGTACTCAAAGTGCAGAAATGTGACCGTAGACCCATGGTACCGGGATATTAAGCAAGCGAGTTATGTATGGGGCCGTCAACCCGATCACCATGTTGTTGGAACCGCCTGATGGAAACCGTCACCGTCGGTAATTTTACAGTACCACGGCTCCGGAGACGAGGACGGTTAGGGTGTTATAGTTAGTTGCGATAGTGTGTGTGTGTGTACCTGCCGATTCCCAGGCTGACTCGTCCTTTGACTTTCCCCCGTCCTCGCTGTCTCTCGCTCTCGCTTTCTCGCTCCACCCCCTCCCCATTCATTATTCTTCCACACCCCCGTATCACCAACTTGACTTTTGTCACTCCTCTCTAACACCTTCTTTACTCATCCCGGACGGGTCAATCGCTGGATTGTCTGTTGTCCTGCCTCGGCGCAGCAGACCCAGCCTAAAATTTTTATTCATTTCATTATCTTTCTTCCCTTTCCCTTTTGGTCGACATTTGTGAATCTCTCTCGTTTTCCATCTCGCAGACTACGTCGAAAACATCCTTGCCGACTGGTCGGTTTCACGGCTTGCATTCGTGGAGTCACGCCCCAGAAATAATCAACAAACTAGAAGAAAACCAGATTTGCACGAGAAACGGGGATAGATTACTTGCTTGACGCAAGCACTTTCCTATAGCGTTGATTTGCTTGGTTGGACCGTGGGATTGCCAAGTAAGTCCTAACCTTCTTTGCTGACTGGTCATGATTTGATTTCGATCATGAAACTGTGCTCAATTACGGTGCCCGTTGAATCTTGTTGTGCTAATCCTGGCAGTTGTTCGTATCAAAGTCAAACTACCTTCAAAATGGCGACACGAGCTCCTTTGGCGCCTCCGCCGAACGAGACGGAATC